CGAACAAAAGACAGACTGAAGCAAAAGGCGGAGGAGGAAGCGAAGTGGGGAGGAAGAAGGAAAATGAGGAAGAATGAGGAGGACGGAGGGAAAAGGAGGAGGAGGAAGAGGAAAATGAGAAAGAATGAAGAGGAAGAGGGAAAAGGGAGGAGGAAAGAAGAAGGAGGAGGAGGAAGCGAAGTGGGGAGGAAGAGGGAAAATGAGGAAGAGTGAGGAGGACGAAAGAAAGGAGGAGGAAAAGAAGAGGAAAGAAGGAAAATGACGAAGAAGAAGAAGAATGAAAAAGAATAAATGTGGTCGAAGGAAAATGAGGAAGAATGAGGAGGACGAAAGAAAAAGAAGGGGAACAAAGGAAAATGACGAAGGAGAAGGAAAATGCGAAAGAATAAATGTGGTAGAAGGAAAATGAGGAAGAATGAGGAGGACGAAAGAAAAGGAGGAAAAAGAAGAACGAAGGAAAATAACGAAGAAGAAGAAGAAGAATGAGAAAGAATAAATGTGGTAGAAGGAAAATGGGACAGAATGAGGTGGACGAAGTAAAAATAAGGAGGAAAAAGAATAGAATGACGTAAAATGGCGAAGAGGAAGAAGCAGAACAAGAAAAAAAACGTGGAAGAGGGAATAGGAGGAAGAATGAAGGATAATGAAGACGAAACGAAAGGCGAAAAGGGGAGAAGAAAGAGGAAGAAGAAACATGAGAATGAGAAAAATGGGTTGGAAGTGGAATAAAGACAATAATGAAGAACCAAGGTGAATGAGAAAAATGAGAAGAGAGGATAAAGAAGTCATAACCGGAATGAGGAGAAAGAGGAGAGGAAGAGACCGAGGAAGAATAACAAGAATGCTGATAGAGGAGAAAGATGAATTAAATGTATAAAGGAATAAAGGGAATGTAAATCGAGAAGAAATCAGAATGAGGAGGAATAAGAATAGGGAAGAAGGAGAATGAAGACGAATGAGAAAAGGAAGATAAGATAAGAGGAATAAGAAAAGAATCAGAATGAGGAGGAATGAAAATAAAGATGAAGACGAATGAGGAGGAAAGAACGAGGAAGACGAATGAGGAACGAGGAAGAATGATAAAAAACTAGAATGAAGAACAGGGGAAGAGTACAAGAAAGATAATTAAAACGAGGAAGACACATACGGAACATAATAGAAGAAGAATGACAAGAATGAGCAGAGACGGACGGGGGGAAAAAATGGAGACAGGAATCTCGGGTCAATAACTAATAACATCAGCCAAAAGAAGCGAAGGACATGATCGGACGGATAATAGATGGCGCTGCGTTGGGAGGGCGACAGGAGGGTGGTGGGGGCGGGGAGGGAGAGGGGAGGGGGGGGGGGGTCGTGGTTGCTGATAGGAAGAGGCTGGGCGCTGGGGACTGGGAGGGAGGGGGGGGGGGTGACGCAGGATATGTATCACAATGACAGCGAAGGAGTCAATGTATCCTAAGAAAAAGAGAGGAAAGACAGAGAAAAATAGAATAAAAGAGAGAGAGAGAGGAAGAAAAAAAAAAGAATAACCTTTACGTATCTTCGTTGTATAATATCAAGGCGGGTTATCGACCTTAGTGTCAAGCCGGAGGAAATACAACAGCATAAATAAATGTATTCCGCATCGACGAGGGACGAAGCTATTGTATGAAGCGCTGTGTATTGTATAATTCAATGGAAAATAGAACAGAATGGAGTCAAGGTTTGCATTACTCGAGCCACACAAAGGACTGAAAAAAAATAAAAAATAAATAAATAAATAACTCTGAGTCGTGATATGTTCATGTCACTCTGAATGACGTGTTATTCATGTTCATGTTGATGCGAATAAGGTTCATGTTAATTCTAATATTCATGTTAAAGTTAGTGTTCAGGTTGATATCAATGGTATTGTTAAAATTCATGTTCAAGTTGATATCAATGGTATTGTTAAAATTCATGTTAATGTTATTTCTAATGTTCATGTTAGGGTTATTATTACCTCCATGGTTATGTTTTTGGTAGCGTTGATTAGTATGTTTGTTTGTTAGTTGTTTAACAGGATAACACATAAACTAGATTTTTTTAAATTTTATTTACTAGAAGTGTTACTTAGGCTAACTGGCATCAGTTATTCCTATTACCTTGACAATAGGGATAACTATCATTATTATCATTTATTATTATTATTATCATTTATTACTATTATTATTATCATAACCTTCATTATCTAAGTGCTTCTTGTTAACGTTAATTTTAATATCCGTGTTAATGTTGATTTCATCGTTAATGTGAGTGTAAATTTAGACATAAATAACAATGGAGAAACGGATGTCCCTATTCACACAGATAACCAGCACCAGGAAAAAGAATAAAAAGAAAGAAAAAGAACGCAGAAATGTGGGAAGAATTGCATCTTTTGTCAAAGAGTTTTCAGAGCGGAATAAAAAAGGGAATGAAACCGCAGAAGAAGAGATGAATTGCATTTTTTCTCTCCCAAACCAGCGTTCCATAATGTATTTAT